GCCCGTTGCAGAGCATAATATTTGGAAGTGAAAAACGAGGCCCAATGCAAATGCACTTAATACAAATTATAAGCATATGGTGAGGTTCCCAGACAAGTTATTTATGGTCTTGATTAACCTTGCACCATTATTGCCATTTTCGTAGGTTTTATACAACAACATAAAAATATTATCTTTACCTTTTAACATGGGAGGATTATCTTAACCCCGCGTTCTTTTATTTAGCCTTCACTTCTCTCCCTCACCCGCGGATTTCTAGCAGCCTGAAAGGCAAAGCTGCCTCTGCTCCGTGGTCGTTGATTTTAGTGTTCTTTTCCCAGCAGGAAAGTGTAACAACAGCGCCACCAAAAGGCCAAGTTCCCTCTCTTTCAGCACCCTCTCCGTTTTTGCTCAACAGCCTTCCAGGGCTCTCTGCGCCCACAATTCCTGGCTGCTGTGGGTTCAATAGGTGATGGGTTGCCGTCTTAGGCTCTTTATGGTTCATAGGTCTTTTTCTGTATCTTTTTTCCCCTGATCCACCAATTCATTAACTTCTCAGTTCTGTTTCGGCGTACTGAGGGATTTCTATGTTTTGTTTTGTTGTTTTAAATCCTCTGGAACGGGAAAGGTAAGTAAATGGCTGATTGCACAAAGCTGCAGCTAAATCACGTGAGCAGATGCTCCCATACGACTAGAAATGACATGCAAGCACGGAGGCAGCGGTGTCATATCCAGGCAGCCAGGAGAAAAGACTGCAACGTCCCAGGTGCGCTGTGTCTAGTGGCTCTGAAAGTCGCCCCATGAAATAAACCTTCCTTGTTCTCAGAGAACCAACTAGGATACCCACGTTTGCCCTTATTTAGAAATGTGACAAGATGCCTTCTTTTTATCAATTCAGTGCATTTCAGGATTATTATTGTTAATGATTGCCATAAAACTGAACTGACTTTGTCACATTTGTTATCCAACACGCAGGTATTCTCCATTCTAGGCCAGTGGTTAGATTAGAGGGTGAACTGTGGAATTAGCTGGCCTGGGTTCAAAAGCTGGTCTGGCTGGCTTTTCCTGTCTGACATGACCTTGGGCTCACACCCACAACCTGAATTCTCCCTTCTGTTCAGTGGTGTTGTTAATCCTGTCTATTTCATAGGATTGCTGTGAGGATCAAATGAGATGCTATCTGTAAAGGACTTAGCACAGAGTGAGTGCTCAATACATATCAGCTCCTGCTGTTGCTGTCATTGTCAGAGTTACTTGTAGAGCAAAAAGCCATCCCGTCCTACCTCTCCTCAGGGAATTCTCTAAATGTAATTGAAACCCAAAATCTGGAGGCATATTTTGTTTGTTTGTTTGCTTGTGCTTTCTCAGAATGTTACCTGCCTAGAAATAGGTTTGCTGCCGTGTCTCTCTAGATGCCTATCTGTCTGTGCTTGGGGACATCTGGCTTCAGACAGCTGGTCACATGAGCCCCTCTGTGTTCAGAGAGCTTTCAGAGCCATGAGGCACATGCTCATTCATTCTGATTGGGGCTGAGCAAAACATAAAGGCCTTGGCCACGTGAAAGCTCTGCCCTTTCAAAGCATCAAAGCAAAGTTCTGGAAGCTGAAATGTCCTGAAGGAGCTTTTTAGCTGCAGTATTGCCCTAACCCCTTCCTGTCCCCAAGTCTGACTATGAAATTGGACAATATCTACAGAGATAGGGAGCTGGGTGCCATCCACTTTTGCCTGGTTCCCACGCACAAGCAAAACTTGCCTCCATTATCAACCGGTACCGGTATCTCTTTACACTTACAAGTCAGAAGAGTTTGTCTCAAGGTGCTATTGTTACATTTATTTTGGTTATTACATGTCGCATTTTAAATCACCTTCTAAAATACAAATTAGTGTTCAAAAATAAAAATTAAGCCAAGGATCCAGGTATTCAAACCAAGATCTATTACCCACCAATTATTTTAAATAAAATTTTCAGTCCATCTTTAAATCGATATCAGCAGTCTTTCATACCTGGGAAAGTTTCCATTCATTTTTCCTGCTAACATTTAAAAAGAGTATAATATGAGTATTTTATTGATTGTTTAATATTTTATGTTTTCATTAATGTTTTCATTCTTTGCATCATTGAATCTGCTTTATAAAAGCACAATCAAAAAAAAATTTGAAAGCTACCAGCCTGTGTCATCTGACTAAGTGACATTCTGAGTCACAAACAAAATAGGAGAAGTCTGTATAGCCTTTCTTGGGGGCGTGGTGGTATTGTGGTTATGCATGCCAACCACGAGGACAGCAGTTTGAAACCACCAGCTGCTCTGTGGGAGAAAGATGAGGCTCTCTGCGCTTGTAAAGAGTTTCAGTCTCGGAAACCCTCAGGGGCACTTACTTCTACCCTGTCTTATCGGCCTGCCATTGAGCCACTATCGATTCAGTCAGAGTAAGTTGTTTGTTTGTTTGCTTGCTTTTACAGCCTTTCTGTTGTCCAAGGGATATAGAATGTCATTTGGGATAAATAGACCTACATGGGTATAAATAGTATTAATGGTATAATATTAGCAAAATGGAAATTTAGCCAAACATCAGGACTGTGAGGCTTTGAGCATTATGGGAATGCCTCTGAAAGTAAACAGGCGGAGGCCTGAGCACAGCCGAAATACTAGAGGAGTGCCAATGAATTTATTATCGGGAGTATTTCTGCACCAGTGTGAGTTGATCGAGAGAACCCGTGAGGTCCTTTGCTTGCTAATTTCTTCTTTGCCATGAAATAATAAAGCCTAAATCATAGAACTAAATTTCACTTGCAAATTGCTGAAAGTTTTATTTCTCTAGTGAGATCAAATATGTCTTATGACATGTTTTTCCTTCCACTGTTCTCCCAGCTGTTGTTTCTTATTACTGAAATGGTGATGCATTGATATTGGTTCAATTACCGAAGTATCTGAGTGCATTGAAATTCATGGTGCATCACAGGTAGTCAAGCTAAGTGACTGTGATTATCAGACGGGATGTTTGATTTAAATTAAAGGAACACTTCCAAGAGATTATTTATAGAGGAAGACAGTTTACTCTGAAGAATTCCCATCACTCACATCATTAATATTTTAGGTCTCATTAACTAAGGAATATGGGAGAAATAAAGGAATATATATGTCTGATATAACACAGGCAGGAACGCTATGCTGCTTCCCTCGGTTAGGGTCTCTACCATGGGGCCACAAAATGTGGAAGAATGCCTAGACACCAACCTCACTGGGTAAGAAAGGAGCTGAGCTCCTTGGAATACAATTCTGAAATCGACATCAAATTCCAACTTGTACTAAATAGAATTCAAGATGAGAGTCTTAGAAATGGTTTTTGTATTAGGATTATATGGTTGTTAACTACACACAAAAACAAAAACAAGCTATTATTCTAGAAACGACTCTGTATCGGCTATACCGAAATGTTTTCCCTTCATAGAGCAAAGGAAACCTTATCCTTTCCACTGGAGACAGTGGTTTAGGTGACGGTTATAGTTGCTTTGTGATCTGTGCTTTGACATGGGCAGACACGTCAAGGTTTCTTGTCAGGGGGTAAAATTGAGAGCTTACCTTCTTTTAGGTATTGGTAGCACCCTTTTCAGTTTATTGATTAATGCTTGAGCTCTCATTATATCATTGCGGGGAATGACCATACTGACCTCAGATTTTTATGTGTAGTTCTTAATGAGAAGAGAAGTTACAAATTTACTATCATTGATACATGAATCTGTTTTCTGATATCTCTGGGCCTCCCGAATATTATTGATGCTTTCTATGCAGCACTAGTTCCACGAAATGCCATGTTTGTTTTTCCTTATCCGAGAATCTCCGCCAATGCTAACAGCATAGAAATCCCCCAGGGAAAAGGATTCCAGCATATGAGCTTTAATTACATCACAGATGCTGTTGCCAGTCCAGTGACTGGCCATTAAAGTAACTCGGGTAGTCTCACATACCCTGCCTTATTTGCTGGGTCTTCCAAAGAGCCTTTGTTCTGTCATCCAAACCCAGGTCTAGTTACAATTCTTGTGAACTGCTTCTCAGGAAAATGTTACAGGAATGAGAAATTGTATCAGGGCTTCAACCCAGTTCTTCCTGGCTCTGGCCAGTGAAAGTCAGCCAGAATGGACCCAAGTTTGTAAAATGGGGGTGAAATGAAAAAATTACAGGTGGATGATCTGGTAAAACCGTGTCGTGTTTTGTTTGGCCTTAGGTGAGAATCTCAATCTCCCTCTTAGCAAACAAAAGCAGTGTGCACATCACATAGCAACCACTTCTCTTGACAAGAAGACTCCAAAATAATAGGGCTTGGCCTCTTTAAATGTGTGTTGCTCTCCGTGGTCCCGCTAATAATGTCTCCCACATGAGGCTTCTGAAGGGGTCGCCACCTCTCTTCCAAGTCACCCATGCCAGAGCTGTGACTTACCGTTTTTCCTGTTCAGACTATCATTCTACTTCACCCACATTTGCATCTGTACTGATTTCGCTTCGTTGCTCATGATTGAAATGACTTGAAGCCCCAGTCTGTATGACAGGATATCTCAGAGTACTGTGCTATGATAAGCCCTCTGCCAGGGAGTTGGTTAAGAACAACCCTTTAAGACAGTAGAACTGGCCTACAGGGCTTCCAAAACTATAATATTTTACAGAAGCAGACTGCCTCATCTTTCTCCCATAGAGCATTTGGTAGGCTTGAACCACCTACCTTTAAGTTAACAGCCAAGCACTGTAACTACTGTGCCACCAACACTCCTTTTGTGCTGCATGAGACCAAAGCTAAACCAAACCCTTTGTCATCAAGTTGATTCCAAATCATAGCAATTCTACAGAGGGTTTCAGAGGGTGTAAATATTGACGGGAGCAGATAGCCTCATCTTTCTCCCATGTGACCACTGGTGGGTTTGAACTGCCGACCTTGGTGTTAGCAGCCCAGAGCTTACCTGACAGCACCATCAGGGCTCCTTATGTGCTGCATTAGTACCTCACAGATGTTTTCATTGTCTTCTACAGCCTGTCAACCAAGGCCGTCACTATCAGAAAGAAATGAATCCACCTTCACCTTCTAACCCCCGGTAAGAACCATTAATAATCTAAATGGTTTCTAAATTATAGGTTTATTTTTTAATACATAATTTTATTGGGGGTTCTTACATATTTTATAACAAACCATATCTGAGTTATCTCAAGCGGACATGTACAATTATTGGCATCAACAATTTCTAAAGAATCTTTCTTCTTCAGCCCTTTGATATCGGCTCCTCTTTTTTCTCCTCCCTCCCCCATCTTGTCACCCCTGTGAAACCCTTACTATATTATGTATATTATTATCTATACACATCTTATATCCCTTCACCTACTATCCTGGTGTTGTTCTGCCATCATTGCTATCCATTCCCCCTTCCCCTTCCTTCCTTTCCCTTTCCCTATCCTCCTGGAATCATTACTCCCATTACTGTTTCTGAGGGGGTTTGTCTTTCCTGAATTCCGTATATTGGAAGTTCTTCTCTATGCCACTGTCTATACACCCCACACTAGCAGGAATTGTGAAATTGGACCGAGATCATAATAGTGGGGGAGGAAGGATTAAAGAACTAGAGTGTTGTGTATTTTGTCGGTGCTAAACTGTCCCCTGGATGCATTTTTTCCTCTGTGCAGGGACGTCTAATTATCCATGGATGGGCTCTGGATCTGTAGCTTGACCCCTCTCCAGCACCTCAGTGAGGTTGTTTATTTTTGAACTTCTGATGCCTGTTCCCATCGACACCTCTTGATCACACAGACTGGTGTGCTTCTTCCCATACGGGCTTTGTTGCTTACCTGCTAAATGGCTGCTTGTTTGGCTTCAAGCTTTTAAGACCCCAGATACTATGTCTTTTAATAGTCGAGCACCATCTGCTTTCTTCACCACATTTGTTTATGCACCCAGTTTGTCTTCAGTGATCGTGTTGGGGCGGTGGGCATCACCCAATGCCACATTATGATAACAAAGTGTTCTTGTGTTAAGTAGAGGCCCAGAGTCCATCCATTATCTCAGTGTATTTCCATCTAAATATATGTACATAGGCCAATGCCCCTATTGTTATGCACTAATATATTTACTTATGTACACCTCTATGTTTATACCTCTAGTAATAGTTTTTTATTCCTAGTTCTTTTCACTGTTTCCTTTTACCTTGTTGTCCCACTATCATGTTCACCCCTCATTTGCCTCTCATTAATTCCTCCAGCTAGATTATGGCTGTGCTACCACTACCAGAATTTCTACTCCCCCTCTCTTGAGTGTTTTTTTTTTTTAATTGCATGGGCTTGTTCCCTAAAACTTCTCAAGTGCTACCAAAAGTTTTTGGTTTTCCTTTGAAGTCTTAGTTCAGTCTGTGGGTCAGATGTTGTTGCAGACATGACTTTACTTGCTGTGTAGTCAGTCCCAGTGGGTGAGGGCACTGTGTGTGGGACAGAGCTGTGTTACGCAGCGTTTGCAAGGCTGTGACCACTCAGAAGCGGATCACCAGGCCTGTCTTACCTAGAGTCTCTGGAGGGTGTGAAAGGTCAATCTTTAGCAATCGAGCGCTTAATCCTTTGCCCAACCCAAAAACTCCTAATTAACAGGCTAATCTTGTTTAAAGGATAATCTGAATCATAGAGAGCCTGTAAGACAGAATAGAATGGTCCCACCCCATTTCCAAAACTGGATCTTCACAGAAGCAGACTACCACATTCTGCTTCTAGGTAATGTCCAGTAGATTAGAAGCACCAACCTTTGGTTAGTTCTGAGCACTTAAGCAGAGCTCCTTCATTAACAAGCTACCTGGGTTTTTTTGTTTTGGTTTGGTTTTTGGCCATAACCTTTTATTTTGGAATATTTTCTCCATATAAACATAATTCATTGGTTTTTTTTCTATTAGTAAGTCATTAGCAATGAAAATAATTGCTCTAATAAATTAATTTGCTTAACTTCTTCATAAAGGCTTCATTCATTCTTTTTTTGTTGTTTTTGTTTGTTTGTTTGTTTTTAATCATTTTATTGGGGGCTTGTGCAATTCTTATCACAACCCATACATACATCCATTTTGTCGATTACATTTGTAAATTTGTTGCCATTATCATTCTCAAAACATTCCCTTTCCACTTGAGCCCTTGGTATCAGCTCCTCATTTTCCCCCTCCCTCCCTGCTCCCCTTCCCTCATGAGCCCTTGATAATTTATAAATTGTTATTATTTTATCATATCTTACACTGTCCGACGTCTCCCTTTTCCCACTTTTCTGTTGTCTGTCCCCCAAGGAGGAGGTTATATGTAGATCCTTGTAATCGGTTCCCCCTTTCCAACACACCCTCCCAGTATTGCCACTCTCACCGCTGGTCCTGAAGGGATCATTCGCCCTGGAATCCCTGTGTTTCCAGTTCCTATCTGTCCCAGTGTACATCCTCTGGTCTAGCCATATTTGTAAGTAGAATCGGGGTCATGATAGTGGGCAGGGCTGGGGGGGGGTAGCATTTAAGAACTAGAGGAAAATTGTACGTTTCATTGTTGCTACACTGCACCCTGACTGGCTTGTCTCCTCCCCACAACCCTTCTGTAAGGGGATGTCCAATTGCCTACAGATGGGCTTTGGGTCTCCACCCCTCGTTCACAATGATATGATTTTTTTGTTCTGATGATGCCTGATACCTCATCCCTTCGACACCTAGTGATCACACAGGCTGGTGTGCTTCTTCTATGTGGGCTTTGTTGCCTCTAAGGTAGATGGCCGTTTGTTTACCTTCAAGCCTTTAAGACCCAAGATGCTATATCTTTTGATAGCCAGGCACCATCAGCTTTCTTCACCACATTTGTCTTCAAGCTTGTGCACCCATTTGTCTTCAGCGATCATATCAGGGAGGTGAGCACACAATAATATGATTTTTTGTTCTTTGATGTCTGATAACTGATCCCTTCCTCACCTCGTGATCACGCAGGCTGGTGTGCTTCTTCCATGTGGGCTTTGTTGCTTCTGGCTACCTGGGTTTTAATAGCACCTCTACCTCTAACTAGCTGTGGGACATGAGAAAGTCACCTCACTCAAAGTAATTCCATCTTCTTTACATTTGTCTATAGGTGGAGATACTAATTACCTCCTAGTGTTTTTGTGATGCTCAAATGAAAAGTTCGTAGACATTTCCCAGCCAAAAGTGAGCTCTCTCCACATGTTAGTTATGCTCATTAGAATTCTGTTGATTTTGATGTACAGTACAGTTTCAGTTTCAATCATTTTACATAATTTGTCTTTAAATTTAATAGAACGGCTTATACATGTTCAAACAATCATTATCATTTTACTTGTCAAAAATGTATAATTTCAAAATTATTTCAAAAGTGTCCTATGAGTCATTCATCAATAGAGAAAAACTTTGTGGTTTTAGGTTTTCTTAATAAGAACAAATCTGACTCCAATTATTAAATAAAGAAGGAAAGCAGTCCTGGTGGCACAGTGGTTAAAGAGTGAAGCTGCTTAACCAAAAGGTCAGCGGTTCAAATCCACTACCTAGTGGTCCTAGTGAGGAAAATGAGGTCGTCTGCTTCCATACAGATTCCAGCCTTGGAAACCTTATGGGGCAGTCTGTTCTGGCCTGGGGTCACTTGGAGTCTGAATCAACACAAAGAGAGTGGGGTTGGGTTCTGGGGATTTTCAAGGCTTACACATAAAAACATTTGTATAAGTTGGTTTATCACTCACAATCAGTATCATTTTAGCACTATTTATTAATTATCACTATTTACTTATTTCTTAAATTAATTACCAAATGCATCTCATTGCATATACTGTGAATTGCCTGATGATGTAGAGCAAACCCAAGGAACTCACTGTAGCTCTGACCCCAGGATGTAGTGTCTATTGTGCAATATCTTGAGATAAGACTCCGGTTGCATAGAGCAAGGACAACTTGTTCTTATTGTTCTTGGGTGCCGTCAAGTTCACTTCCATCGCACAGAGACATGTATAACAAAGCGAAACACTGCCCGGACCTGTGTGATCCTCACAATTACTCTTATATTTAAGCCCATTGTTGACAGCCACAGTGTCAATCCATTTTGTCAAGGATCTTTCTCCTTTTTCTTGACCCTCTATTTTACCAAACCTGATGTCCTTTTCCAGGGACTGGTCTCTCCTGATAGCATGTCCCACGTACTTGAGAGGATGTCTCACTATCCTTGCTTCTAAGAATCAGTCTGACTGTGCTTCTTCCAAGATAGATCTGTTTGTTCTTTAGGAGAAACATAGTACTTTCAATATTATTTGCTAGCACCATAATTAAAATGCATCAATTCTTCCTCTGTCTTTCATGCTGAGTATCCAACTTTCACATGCATATGAGGCATTGAAAATACCCTGGCTTGGATCAGGTGCACCTTAGTCCTTAAAGTAACATTCTTGTGTTTCCACACTTTAAAGAGGTCTTGTGCAGCAGATTTACCTAATGCAATGCATCATGTGATCTGTTGACTGCTGCGTCCCTGAAATTGATTATGGATTTTATTATCCTATCATAGACAGCATTGTCCTTCAAGATAGATCTTGAAATGTCATTTTTTACCATGAATGTGACACCGAACCGCTTGAATTTGTCCTTCACATCATAGTAAACCATGTGACTACTTGATTCCAAATGGCCAGTACAAGCCCTCTGTAGCTCCCAAACACCTAGAATATGGATCTTTATGCATTCCGGTTCACTTTTGACAACTCCCAAATTTCCTAGATTTGGGCCTCATACATTTCAAGTTCTGATTATTAATAGATGTTTACAGCTGTTTTCTTCTCATTTGAGGTCATGTCCCATAAATAAATGAAGGTCCCAAAAGCTTTACTGCATCCATGCCACTATGGTTGACTCTACTTTGAGAAAGTCACTCTTCCTCAGTCATATTTTGAGTGCCTTGCAACCTGAGGGGCTCATCCTCAGGCACTATTCCTGACAATGCTCTGCTGTGCTCATAATATTTTCAGTAGCTGATTCCTCTGAAGTCGACAGGCTATTCCTTCTTCCCTGCCTGTTCTTAGTCTGGAAGCTTTGCTGAATGAAACCTAATCACT